CGCGTCTTCGGGCGAGCCGCCACAAGTAGCGGCCCGCCGTGGTCGCCTACAAGGCGCACCTCCACCACCAGATGCAGTTGACGAAGGAGACCGACTGCGGAGAGCTACGAGGAACCCTCTTGCCTCAACCGGCTCGGGGGCTCCACGACTGCCCGACTGGGCGAGATTTGACATCCAACGCAGTCTGCAAAACCTCCGCAGTCACGAACTTCACGTAGTCAAAAAGGAACTCCGTAAACTGCACTTACGGTGGCATCATGCGAAGGAGCCAAAGATGAGGCTGATCCTAGATAAAGTGGGACTGGACAGCGTTCGATTAAATCTGATCAAGGAAATCTGTGACACATGTCGGGAATGTAGAGCATGGGAACGTCCAGGTAATTCTACGCTGCCTTCCGTAAGCCTTCCTGGAAATTGGCTTGACGAAGGCGAAGCAGATCTCGTGTTTTACAAGAAGCGGACCATATTTCATATCATGGGCCGATGTATCCGCCTGGCAGCAGGCCGAGAGATTCCTGATAGAGAACGCGACACTATATTCGACGCCTACCATTACTGCTGGATTTCATATCATGGACCCTTCAAAGTCTTGTATTCAGATGGAGAAGGCGCCCTCAACAATGACACTGACAAGGCCATGATGGCGAACAAAGGCACGACACTTCGTATCCGAGCGCCTGGCCAACACGCGACTTCGATCGAGTCACGCAACGGCATTCTTAGGGGCACTCTCCATATTGAGGAAGAGCCGAACCGACACAACATCCCCGTTGTATTTACTAGAGTGTTGGCTGAAGGCATCTTCGTCACCAGCGCTTTCACGTTTTACAACGGAGTATCGCCGCGCCAAGCACACACTGGGCGACAGCCCTCTTTTCTTCCTGACCTCGACGCCCTTGACTTCCCTAAGGGACCCGAGACGTCAGGCCACGAACGAGAACGCCGCGCGAGGGAAGTTAGCCTGGAATCAATATTTCAAGCCACGGCGGTAGCTAGGACAAATCGTGCTCTCAGGGCTAAGACGGCCCCAGATGGTGCTCGCCTTTGCTCAGCTGGGGACTTGGTCGATTATCACCGACCTCTACAGTCACTAAGGGCGACCATGGAGGCTGGAACGGCCCGTTTCCTGTGATCCGTAACGTGCCTGAACGAGGACACGTCGTCGTCAAGGCAGGATCGCGTGAGGTACTTGTAATGTGCCCTGATGCTCGCCACACGCTATACATTGAATGCCTTTCTTACCAGGGAACTCGGCATGGACAACATGGCCATGCAAACCGTCCTTACATATGTGGCACACCTAGGTGCAGGGAGACCTGCCAAAGTCTTTGGCTATATTCCAGACTACAAAGGAAACCTCAATCTTTCCGACGACAGCAAGTTTCACTCGCGCGTACATTTTGCATTGCAGTATCTCGTGCGAAACTATTTCCGAGTTGAACGTGTAGTAGCCGTGAGATTGGCCAAGAGCGTGTCCAACCTACCTGCAGTAAAGTACGCCACCGGGTCTACACTCATCCAGTACGACAATGATGTTAACCCAGCCTTCTATTATTATGAGTGTATGGGCACCGGCCTGAACATCTCAAATCACTGGTAGCACTCACTCCAGATTCATCCAATGCCTGACGTCACAAGTTCCATCCCTAGGATTTCATGACGACCTTGCCAAGTATCAGCACTTGGGCACAACGCCTGGAGAACACGACCAGCCTGGAGACTGGCCTCCTCCAGACACCCCAGGTGCTTCATCACCAAGTGAAGGTCGCCTGTCTACAACCTATGAAGAAAGCGAGGAACACGACATCGAGGCTATGATGATGGAGGAGTGGTACGATGAGCTACGTATGGACCTTCATCCCACAACGGTTATCGACGACTATCTTTACTGCGTCCCAACAACCACGCTGCCTGACCAATGTGTCTTGGCCTCAGCCTCCGCGGACGAGGAAGATACCGTGGTGTCGGAGACGCTCGGAGACGAGCCTGGACTACAAGAGCCCTGTCTTATCTCTCTATGCTCGACTACACCTGACGAGGGCTATTCTCTTGACAGCGATGAACATGGCCCCTATGTTGAGCTATGTTTCACGCCAGAAATGTCAAATATAGCGTTGGATCAGACCCAACTTGCACATCTTGAAACAGACATGGTCGCAACGATGAGAGTATATGCATCATCGGCTGCTAAACGTGCTGTGGTAGTCAAGGAAGACGACCTACTCACCTAAGCCGATATCGCAGCACATTCTAAAGAGGTTAGTGAAGCCCTGAGCACCGAACTCAAGATCTGGCTTGACAACCGATGTTATGAGATGTATGACCCATCTAAAGCTTCCAACATCGTGACATCCAGATACGTATACAAGTGGAAGTGTGTGAAGGTAGGCACCGATAATGTTAAAACCATCCGTCTTAGACTTGTCCTTCGTGGATTCATGGACGCGGAGGCGTTCGACGTAGAAACCTTCTCAGGAACTGCTCGAAGACAGTCCCGGAGGCTCCTGGCAAGTGAGGCGGCATGTCATCCAGAATGGACCTTAGCATCTATGGATATCGACAAAGCGTTCCTCAAAGGACTGACCTATGAGGAACTTGCTCATGCCACCGGCGAGGAAACTCGCATGGTTTGCTTCACCCTTCCACCAGGAAGTGCCCAGGTGCTTCGTGCACTACCAGGCTTCCCTACCCTGCCGACACTGCCTCAGGTGTCTCAAGCCAGGAACGGGTGCCAAGGACGCCCCAATAGCGTTCTCCCTCAAGCTTCGTACGATTACACGAGCTATAGGCCTCACACCGACAAGTTACGATCCTGAGTTTGAATTCAGTCAGGATCTGTTAACGGCAAAACATGTTGACGACATCAGTATGACGGGCCTAGAGAGAAACGTAGACGACTATGTACAACGCGTCGAAAAGGTGTTTGGTGAATGCAAGCTCGACAAACATTCTTACACGAACTGCGCCTTTCGCTACACGAAGAATGAACAAGGGGATGTGATCACGGACCAGGACGAGTACATTTAACAACTACGTCCTATCACACACCTTGAACTTACGGGAGCGGCGGCAGACGCCAAAGCTACCAAACTCATCACCGAGATGTTCGTTAGCCTGCGAGGAGCTCTCGCCTATGCCCTTCTTACCCAAGTCTGGCTTATGGTGTATGTGGTCTCTCTCCAGAAGATCCAAGAGCCCACCAATTTACAAGTCAGACGACTGAATGCTGTGACGCGAAAGCTGATCAGCAGCCCGAAACGCATCACCTTCCCTCGGATGAAACCGACGAATGAGGTAGACATACACAGTGATTCGGGGTATCGGAAGCTCACCGGAGAGGAGGACGATGAAACCGAGGGCTACGGTATTCGTGGGGCTAACGTATTACGGCGAGGAAACTCGCCTCAAGGCACGTCCGTCATTTACCTTTGTGACGGACTATGCAAATCACACCGACTGCAGGTGAGGTCCACCTTCGCCGCTGAGGCACTTGCAGCTGCACGCAATCTTGATGAATGCTATCCCACGCTCATCACTCTTCACGAGCTCAAGGCAGGGGCACTGACTCCACGACAACTACAAGATATGCGTGAAGTTGGAGGCCTAGCTATCAAAGTATCCTTTACTATAGACGCTGGGTCTGTATACACATCGCTATCCAGCAAAGATCTTAAGCTACCGACGGAACGGACTTTGCTGGGACATATCAGCTGGATACGTGAGCTCATGGATACAGGTATAGTGCATAACGTAGAGTGGTGGGATACTAGAGACATGACCGCAGATGGGCATACAAATGGGAGTATCGGAGCTGTTTTTGGAAGTGATGTCAGGCACTCAGTCATTTAAGTATGACGTGAAGCAGTTTGTTCCTTTTCGCGGCCCCGAGGACAGGAACAAGCCTAAGTCGAAGCAGTTTTAGTCTGTCCTTGTTGCCTCCGCGGTCCAGTTTGCCAGCACGGGCGCCTAATGCAGAGGCGCCCTCTTAGCTGCTCGGAAACGAGCCAAACTTTTCACGCTTGGCAACGAGCCTGTTCAGCCTGGTTCAGGTTGTTTGCTTTAGTACCCTTTTGCCTGGAGGGGAATGGCCTGTTTGGCTTGCCTCTAGCCGGGCCGATAGCCCTTGTATATCCACGGCGCTATCCTGCGCGTGCGTGGAAAAGTTTCGCGAGGAAACTCGCCGGCGAATAATCTCGCCCTTCAGTCTGGTGGTAGGCCAGACTGTGCGCACTGTTTTTTCTTGCAAACAGTTGCGCGCGCGGCCTTTCTAGAGCCTAACGGCTGCGCAGCTTTACTCTCCGTCTCCCCCCTCCCGACTTTAAGGGTAGCTCTTTGGAAGATGTTATAGAGCATCGGGGGTGTAGCCTGCGCGCCGTTGCTTGGCTCAAGGCACGCGGGCCCTATTTGCCCGGACGCTTACCTTAGTGTTCGCTATGTGCTGGAAAGATCACTACGTCGATCTTATCCGATCCTACCCATCCATTCCCAATATCGCATCCCTTCGACATGGAATTGGATGCTATATGACCTGCCAGAGTCATTTCAGACTCAGTGTGCCGTGTCCCTCTGCTTTTTGCCTTCTAAAGGGAAGGAGGACGTGCAGACCCCCACCCCCGCCCCCCGTCTCTCATCTAACTTCCGCCCGCTTCCCTTTTCGTTTCGGGATCCAGCCTCCTTGATGCAATGACCGCCCTCCCTCTTCGCCCTCCTTCCTGCCCCTGTGCCGCGGGGCCGACGACCGAGGACGACGACGACCGACGGCGACGGCGACCAATGACCGCGACGACCAAAGACGCTCGAATCCGACGTCCGACCCCGACGACCAGACGGCGGCGACGACGAATACACGGTGGCCGCCGACCGACGATTCACGACCGACGCCCGTCGGCAACAGCGACGACAACGACGAGGACAGCCGAAGGACTGCCGATGGCGACGGCGACCGACGGCCAGGGAATACAGCCGTCGGCGGCGGCCGACGACCACGACCCCCGGGCAAGGTCCTGATGCGGTCGCGCTCTGCGCCAGCGCGCGGCTTCCGGGCCCTGGCGCACGGCATGCGGAGCGTGTACCGGGCTCAGGCGATTTAGGGAGGAAGACAGGGGCGACCACGACGACGGTGGCGGCGACGGGGGATGGGGGGCTGGGGAACGAGGGGCGGGCAGGGGAGGGAGGGGATGAGAAGGTGCAGCGGAGTGGACGAGGAGCAGAGGGAGGGAGGGGCCTGATAATCTCGCACCTGATGGGTGTGGGCAGGGAGGGGGAGGGGAGGGGAACGGGGGCGGGAGGAGACAGATAGAGCGAGGGAGGTGTGGGCAGGAGGGGGCGATGGGCAGGAGGAGGGGAATGAGGAGGGGATGGAGGTCTGGAGTGAGAATGTGAAATGACTCTTGGGGCATGGTGTGTGAGGGATGGGGATGGGGATACTGAAGTGAGGAAGTTCGAGTATGAGTTCAGTTGCACAGGTCGAGCGAACGAGGGGTCCCTGCGCAGTCCCACTCTCCCGTGCCGTGGTCAGTGGGGGGCCGTGTCTTCCCTCCTCGGTAAAGTGCCGCTGGCAGATTCTGACCAGGGTGAGCAGGAGGGTCGGGCAGCCTACAGCACTCATGAAGTCTGATATGGGTGCGGTTAGGAGCTTTGGCTTAGCTCGTCGTGCCGCTGGTTCTGGCCCACCACGTTTCGGCGCGACACGCTATCCACGTCGCAGTCCCCAAGCGTCAACGTCTCGAGTTGTCCCGGGCTACACCCTCGGAGCGGAGCGACACGCTATCCGCTCGCATGGCATAGCGTGTCTCAGGGCTGCCGTCGCGACACGCTAAGCTAAAGGTCCCGACCGTATCAGATTCCTGCGACTTCGTTTCCGCCTCCTTCTCCTTTCTCCGCCTTCTTTGTTTCCGCGCTTGTTCTCGCATATTCCTCCACATCCCCCAGATCACGCTTCCGTCGAATGCACTGTGCCTCCGGCCACTTGACACATGTCCTCGAGAGTTTCCCTGGCTTCAGCGATCGTACGATGGCGCCGTGCGTTAATGCATGATGGCGACATGAGCCCGGGTGCTTCGGCGGCACGCGATGGCGCGATAGGTTCGCGCACGAGGCAATACTTGTGATCTGCCGTTGCAGGTCTTCCCCGCGCCTCTCCGACTCCTCTTCTGGTATCATCACCTCATTTCTTGCTATCCCTAATTTGTCGCTTTCATCTCTTCTTCCCTGTCTAGCTCTTTCTCTCCATCTTTTCCTTTCCCCGCTCCTTGTCACCGTCCGCCGTCTATTCGGTATTGTTTTGGAGCTCTGCAGAGGTACTTGCAGGCTTCTGGAGGTCTCCAAACTCCCGGAACTACTAACCGCCTCGATGCTCGATGTTCGAACCTCGACCGCCCTCATTCCATTTCCCCTTTTCCGTTTCTCTCCCCCCCTCGTCTTTCATCCAGTCCCCCTGTTTGCCAGGCCATTGTCGACGACGGCCACCCGCCTCATGTCAGTTCTCTTTTGCTGCAGGCGCGTACCATTCATTCTATCTGGGGCGCGGAGTAGGAGCAGCCAGCACGAAGGCAATGTGCACGTTTTTAGCATGTTTGCCCTCTCGGCGCCATTCCTCGGCCTTGAACCGTTGAAGGAGATGTCATGGGAGCGCCCCGTGTCCAGGGCCCGTTCCCTCACGCCGAGGCTAGGGGGCACCCGCAGGGGCGCGAAGATAGTCGCGTCCCGCCGTCAGGGCCAGAGAGCCGGCGCCCGTCCAGGAAACGGAGCAGAAGGAGGAGGAGGAGCAGTTGCAGCAGGAGCACCACGGAGAGAATCCTCGACCACGGCCGCCCGCCTCAGTCTCAGTTTGTTCTACGCGTGCGGGTGCTTTGACGATTGACCCAGTTGCCCGTTCAACGGAGGATGCGGCAATCTCGGGCTTCTTGGGATGGGAGTGCAATGGTGGCCCCCAGGTTCATGTTTCAACGAATCTGCACCCTTTTCTACCAACGTCCTGAGACCGCAGGGTCTAGGTTTCTTGTGGAGGTTTCTCGTGTCCGAGGCCTTGTTGGAAGCAGATTACAGTGAAGGACAGGACGACGGAGGCGGGTATGAAGACGCAGGGACATAGACACCAGAGCGGGGAGCAAGATCAGGAGCGCCAGCTGGCGCAGGAGTTCGAGGAGGAGGGGCATGGGTGTGAAAGCCGGAGACGTTGAGAAATATATCGGGAGAGAGAGAGAGAGACAGAGAGAGAGATAGAGATTTCTATGTAGACAGGTAAACAGATGTGTATGCAGAGGGAGCGGGAGAGGGAGGGCGATAGAGAGAGGGGAGAGAGAGAGCGAGAGCGTGCGATCGATGCGGAGAAGAGCGAGGCCCACGTGATACGCGTTGTTCACACAACATGCAACCTCTTAGTGCGTTTCAGCTTGACACCATCTCATCTTGGAGCTCTCGTTTTACCTTTATTTGCCGATGTGAGCCTGCCCCGTCCACTCATTCCCGCCTTTTCTGCTTCACCCTCTCCAGGTTTCAAGGCCTCTGACGTTTCGAACAGCAACAACAATCATTTTATCGTCATTCGCTCTGCATTGCTCGCGTGCTACTGGACATGTGTACCCCGAACCCTCGCCAGTCGCCCTCTTCGTCTATGGGCGTGCCAGATGGGTCCTTGACGCACCCACCTGGCCCGACAGGGTAAGGGAGGGCGGACCCGGTTGGGCGGACACTGATGGACGGGTCCGGCGGGCGGACCCTAACAGGCGGGGCAGGAAGGCGGGCCCTGACGGACGGGCCAGGCGGACGGGCAGTTCAAGCAGGTGGACGGGCTTCAAGCAAGCGAGCGGGCAGACCCTGACTAGCGGGCCAGGTGGGCGGGAGGTTGAAACGGCCGGGCCGAGCGGGAGGACAGTTTCGGGCCCGTCAGGCAGGCGGGACATCAGAACGTGTGCGGCGGCTGACTAGCAAGCAAACGGAGGGGGGTTCGGGCCACGGACCCTAACGGGCGGACCGGTCGAGCGTTCGGACTGGGTCGGGCGGGCGTCCTTAACAGTTGGGCAGGGCGGGCGGGACATTGTGCGCGAGTTCTGAGTATATCGTAGTGAAGTCCCAGGATCAAGCGCGAGCCTAGATAGGATAGGAGGAAGTCCTGGGCGGAAACGCCGTGTGGGTGTCCGCCGATGAATTGTCTAGATGGAATAGCTAGGATAAATTCCGCCGATTCCCAAGGATGTCCGCCTCTTGGGTGTCCGCCGATTCCCAAGGATGTAAGCCACGAGAGTCCACTTGATCAAAACGGGTCCCACGACGGCCGAAGACCGTCCGCCGAACTACAGGCCGCCGACGACGGTCCGCGGACGCCCGACGACACACCGCCGAACCGAGCAGCGACTCCGCGCGACCTTCCGCCGCCGCCTGCCTCGGGGTCATCAGCCACAAGGGCCACCAGGTTCAAGCGGCAGTCAGTCCACTCACCGTGGTCCACCGTGACCCCTCCGCTAAGCGGCCGATCAATTTCGCTGGTGCTCTTCAGTGTGGCCACCAGGCCAGCACTCCAGCCCGTCCTCGCCGGGGAGCCCATGTATGTCTTACGACCGCCGACGACCATCCGCCGACCTCCGTAACGACCGCCTTCGATCGACGGTTGATTCCACGAGTTCTGATGATGACGATCAACGACGTGCACTCAGACAGACTCGTGTCTGACGGCCGACCCACGACGCCGAATTGAACTATAACTCATGACGCAGTCCGCAGCGACCCTCCGTGCAAGCGTCCGCCGACTCTCACGAACACTCTCCAGGAGGGCCACCAGGCTCAAGCGGCAGGCAGTCCATTCACCGTGGTTCATCCCGATCCCCCCGCCGAGTGTCCTACGATTCTTACTGGCGCTGCACAGTGTGTGCACCAGTTCAGCAGTCCAGCCAATCTTGGTGTTGTCACCTATGTCCGCCCGATGATAGACGCCCACCGCCGGAACGATGGCCGACCACCTGTTATCGACCAGGAGCGCAGACCTCCTCCGCGGCCATCACGGCGTCTTCGTCAGCCGGCCAGGGGAGCAAAACCAGTATTGGGAGTGTATTGGGTGGTCCAACTCACCAGCGGGAACATCGCAGACCTGCGCACGTCCAGTTTGCCAGCTGCCTCCAGGGGGAAGCTCTTCGACGCCCCGCCGCCAACCGACAGACCATTGTCCGACGACCGACTCACGGAGCCGGACTCCTCTATGATTCATGACGCAGTCCGCAGCGATTCTCCGAGCGAGTCTCAGGAACATCAGCCGCGAGGGTCAGCAGGCCAGAGCGGCAGTCAGTCTGTCACCGTGGTTCATCGTGAGTCCCTCGCCCGGTGTCCGATGGCTCTCACTGGCACTCCGCAGTGACCACCAGGCCCGCTCTCCAGCCAGACCTAGTGTCGACGACCGCCGACGACTGTGTGTCGACGTGCCGATTGCCACCCGACGACCGTCCGCCGACCGCCAGAACGACCGCCGACGACCGACTGTCGACTGCCCGACCTCCGACGACGACACTCGTACCACCACGTCAAGGTACTCAGGTGACGGTTGCCAGCCTGATGCGCAGGCCCCCCCCGCAGGGGAAGGCCCCCTCGCAGGAGAAGGCGGATGCCACCAGGCACCCCCGCAGGAGAAGGCGATACCGCAGTACGCCAGACCAGTGTCCCCCCACGGCGCTTCACTACCCGATGTGGCCGCTGCTCTCTCCAGGCCGTCGCGCAATCCCGCTTTGCCTCTTTGGACGCTCGCTGATTACTTGGTTCATCCTAGTTCGATCGCAGAACGCCGAACCGCACTCGGACCCAGGGAACGGCGGATGAAGGTCCCTACCAGGCCCGACACGTTGATTGCGGACCTGTGTATCAAGTTCCGTGCGCAAGCGCGGTGTTCCATGCCATGTGCCCTGCTCGGGACTACACGACTGACTCTGACATGCGGCTTGTATGTTCCTGTTTTCCGCCTTGACATTCTCGGCGCCGTGCACGCAAGCAAATATGACGCTCACGACCGACGCCTAACCTGGCTGGACACGTTTTTATCAGCGCTGGGGACAGACGTATCTCGGCGACGGCGACACCGTTCGGTTCTACACTCCGAGGCTGTCCGAGCACTGACTTGCGCCCAGGCCTTTTGGTGGCTCCATCCCCTGCTCACGCTGCCCCTTAGCGCCGCTGGCTTGTCCAGGGGCCTGGCCCCGCTGCGATGAAGCCTTCTCGCCTTTTCCGCAGTCGGCCCCCGCGGGGGGGTGTAAACCCGCTCCTGCGCCGCGGGGTGGCGGGGCCCTCGCGCCTCCCCTGCTCCTGCCTGGTCCTGTCGCTGCCGGGGGGCTTTAGCTGTCCTCCCAGCATGGCCATGGATTCGGTTGGCGTCGGTCTCGCCATGCACTGCCAGCCCTGCTGTCGCCAGGGTCCGGGAGGCCAGCCGTCTGACGCGAGTCACGGCGTCCTGATCGGAACCCATGACGAGCACGTTGTCGACGTGTAGTCCGCCACCTCCGATGCCCTCGCGCGGCTTGCACGTGGGCGTCAATGAGGGCAGCGGCCTCGGCGCGCCTCTCATCGATGCACTCGGCCGCCAAGGCCGTCATAATGACGAGTTTGACGTTCGGCCCTGCAGCGGAGGCCTCCAGGACCACGCGCGCGAGTCCACCCTGGCACCTTCGGTCGAGCCGCGGCGGGAACGGGCGGAGCTGGGGGCGTCCGTGCATGCACGGACGCTGGTGCTGGGCCGTGCTGCCCTCAGGTCAAGAGGGCAGTTTCTTGCACCCTCCTGTGGGGTGCTGCCGTCTGCCTGCTCCCGCATGCGGTGTGCTAACACTTGGCAATGGTTACACGGGCGTGATTCTCGGGCCGCTGCGGGCGATGGCCCAGCTGGCGCTTCTGCTTTCGGACGCCGAGCCGCGCATGCCAAAGCGTGCTTGAAGCCGGTTTGTCTCTTGCAGCCACGGGTGCGCAGACGGACCCGCGAGCGGCCTGGTCACCGCCGTGTTTTTCTGTTCCAGCTGTGGTCCTAACCGGCCGCGCCCAGGGAGATCATCCCACCCCTCTTGTTCCGTATGCGGCGCCTTCCGCTATGTGAGGAAGGCCTGCCCAGCACGTGCGACCCAGGGGGCCTGGACGACCCGTCGTCCGAATTGTTGCGGGTTCCCCCTCCCTCTTCCATGCTTCTTGTCTCCTTTCTCCCTGGACTCCTCTCTCTCTCTCTCCCTATCCCCTTTTTCCTCCTTTTTGCTCGCTTTGAAACGTCTGGTCCACATCCATATTCCTTCGAGCATCTTCGAAGGCTGCCAAAGACGTTCGACAATCGCAAGACAAACACCAGAACACCACAGGAGCCACCACACCCACCCTCCCTCCAAAATGTCCCCTGGACGTGTCCATGTCCAGGGTCGCGTTCTGATCAGGATTTCGAGGTGAATCCAGCCGTGGTGACGAGGATGATTAAGAATGTACAAAAAAGTACACCCCAAAGCGTCATCCTGATGCCCTGATCCCCATCTTCCTGTCCATTCTCCTCTCCTCTCCTCTCCTCTCCTCTCCTCTCCTCTTCTCCTTCCAGGGGGGGGGCATGGCGCGCCAACAACGATACACGTAATTACGTACACCGATCCTGGCCAGGTCTATCGTGGGCCTGGTCTGAGTGTATATTCCCCCCGACCAAGCCAGGAGACGCAGGCGGTTACTCCCCCAATCCCCGAGATCCGCCCAACAAACCCTGATTGGGCTATTCGGGCGCACCCCTACCGAGGATGGACGCCCACTATCGTATGTTCTTGACGTGTGTTCCACGTGCTGCGTCCTATCGCAACCCTACAACTTCTGGGCGTGGGGCGACATACTCCCTGAGAGGACGAGCTTGGCCAGGATAGGTGAGGTGGTCAGCTGACGCCCCCCGTCCTCGGAGGGGCCCTGCGTGACGCAATCCCCCTGGCTTGAGACAGTTCCCGACTTCAGGGTTCATTATGTTTCCTCCGACTCGATTCAATTCGATGTCGATGGATTTCGATTGCGATTCCGAGTCTATTCGACCTCGGATTCCGACTTGAATTATGGTTTCTCAATGGAGGCCGTATTGGCCTGCCGATTTCCGCCGATTCGATGTGTCCCGATTTGGCTGCCGATTTTCGTCTATCCGATTCAATTCGATCGCGGATCCGACTTGTCATTTCGATTATGGGTTCTCTTACCTCCATGGGGTGCCAAAGAGTGCGCCATGCATGTTTGCATGTTGGATCAGCCGGTATTCGCGCACATGTGCTGTCACAGCCTATTGCAGGAGTCGAGAGGGAGTCGAGGAGGCATGGTGGGGCCCCTTGCGCACCGAACCGGGGATCTCTCCAGCGCATCACGGTGCTGCTGCAGGGCGGGGACACGTTCCACAAGTGTGCGGACCGCATCTTCAGCGAGCGCGCCGTCGATAACCAAGGATGGCCTGTTCAGGAGGATGGGGAGAAGGCAGGAGGAGGGAGCAGCAGGAGGCAGGGGGCGGAACATGGAGAGATCCAGACCTCCAGCGTCACGAAGACACGGTGACAGTCAGTGTTGCCCACGCTTTCCGCCTCAGGAGGCACGCTTCACTCTGGGTCAATCGAAAACTAGGTCGGAGATGGGCAACCGCTCCTGGGAGGAGGTCGAGAGGTGTTGGCTTCTTCCCAGTGGCCCCACCCCCCCACCCCGCTCTCTCTTCTCGTCCGTACCCCTCCCCTCTCCCATCATCCGCCCTCCTCCCCTTCCCTCTTCCTGCTTCCTTCCGCCCTCGCCTGGCCGGCATCGAACAAGACCGCGTCCGACTTCCAGCGTCCACCACCGGTCTTCGACCTCCAAGCTACCACCTCCAGCTCTTGTCCTCCGCCTGCCGACCGCCACCCTCACCCGGCCGACCCCCGAACCTCGGGCGTTCGGCTTACAGCGCCCACCAGCTGTCGACCCCCAACCTTGCGCCTTCAGCTCTCAACCTCCACCTGTTGACCACACCCCTCACACGACCGACCTCCGTTCTCCAGATTCCAGCCCCCAGTGTCCACCAGCCCTCGACCTCCAAGCTTCCACTCCAGCTTTCGACTCCCGCCTGTCGACCTTCAGCTGGTCAACTCCCGAGAGCTCTGGCACCCCCGCGCAGCCTTCTTAGGGCCGGGCCGTCCAGACCGCCATTGCGCGCTCGCCTCGCGTCGCCTCGCCCACCCCCTGTCCTCACTTTTTCTTCTCCTCGTCCGAATGTTCGTCCCTCCTTCTTCTGGACTTTCGTCTCTTCCGCATACTCCTCGTCGTCCCTCACTCATAGCGTCCTCGTCATTCGCCTTGCGCCATCTTCCCTGTTCCTGCTCTCATCGCGCGTTATTCCTCGTCCTCCCCCCTTCACCCTTCACCCTTTTCCTCTTTCCCCTTCCCGCACCTCCCGCTTCCATCCGCTCGCATCCCTCCCACCTTCCTCAGCCGTTCGCATTCTCGACCTCACTCCGCTCTCCTCAACCCTACCTGCTTTACTCAAGCCTCTCCCTCTCCTCATCCTCATGCTTGCACACCCTGTATATTTCCCTCGTCACTCCTCTGTCGTCTCGATCACATTCTGCAAGCGAGAGGCTAGAGGGCCGTCGCCTCATGCCACGAAAGCGGCAGCCCCGCAGGCGCGCACTGCAGGCGCGCGGCGCCACGGCGCGAAGGTAATCGCGCTTCGCAGTTTGGGCTGGAGCGTCCGTCCTGGGCGGGAAGGACGATACAGTGTTCGAAGGAGACAAAAACGCATACAAAAGCTTTAAGTTTGGGAGTTCCGCGCGGATTTCTCGGATCGGCGTTGGAGCCGCCTGGCTGCGCCTCAGGCGCCGCCTTCGGCGTGCTGCGTGCGCCAGGGAGGGGTGTCCAGCGCGAATCCAATAAATCCACGCGGATTTCCAACAAACGTACGTTTATGCTGTGTTTGTTCTAGTAGTGACGGCCTAGCGGTCTGGACTCGTCGGCCCCGACCCCATAGACACAGTGTGGTTGTGCGAAAATGCCCCGTACGGAGGATTTTCATCGGATCGCGTATCAGGGGATCGCAACGCGCCTCCGTATCCAGACCGCGAGGACAGGGATATGTATGTAGTCGTCACTCGTGAGCTTCCTCTGCCTAGATGGGTGGCGCGGAAGCGCGTAGATCACCGCGCATTAACTTCGCGATCTCGCGCGGCGTGAAACGCTGAGTGATGTGACCACTAGATGTGTTGCGAGTTGCCAACTCATGCCAACTTGGGCTTTCACGATCCATGAGCAAGACGAAGACTGGCGTCGTAAGCGAATCGGAATACCTTCAAGCCTTGCTGTCCTCGCATTCGCTGTTTTGAGCCAACATGGCTTGAGCCAGCCGGTCTACGGACCTCACCTTCCCTCATGTTGCCTGTCTACGTCCTCCAACCCTTTTTTGGAGTCTTTGCCTTTGGGGTTCTCTTCGGTCGTCGGGAGTCCTCTGCGGGGGTCCTGGGGGGCCAAGGGAAACTGGAATAGAGGGCCATTCGCAGATTTTTGATCTTCGAAGATGGTTCATCGACTCTGACCTCCCGAGGCCCTGTTCGGGCTCCCGGGCAGACAAAGAACCCCGGGAACGCATTAACGACCTCCCCTTCTCTTCGGCCCTTGCGGCGAAAATGTATCAGTTCCCGCCCCTGAAAGTGAGATTCCCCCCCTTCAGCGGAGGAAATGTCTCTCGCCTCAGCGCCGCACACGTTCGTCTTAAAAGTTTGCAGAAGTTTCACGGATGGAGAGCGGGTTCTTTTCAGAATTTCGTATTCGCCACAGCGTCGCGCAGATTCGTCTTCAACGTTGGCAAGACGTTCATGATTGGAGGGTGAGTTCTTTTCATAATGTCGTTGTCGCCTTTGCGTCGCGCAACTTCTTCTTCAAAGTGTGCACGAATTTGACGGCCCCCCCCCACGCGTGATTTGATTGATTTATTGGGTGTGGTAGCAAATCGTGGAGGGAGTGCTTTTGGTGAACCCCCCTCCAAAATTAATTCTTTCATTGCACTGGAAAAACACCCGGGGATTCGTTGATGCGTTCGCGGTGTTCTGGAATGGCCTTCGGCCCATCCCGCCACTGTGCCTGGGTTTTGGGTCAGAGTCCTCAGGGATGCTTGTTGATGTCCCTTCGGGGCGCTCTCGGTGGCCTACAGGGGCGCAGTTTGGGGGCCTCTTGGGAGCCTCTTGAGGGCCTCTTGGGAGTCTCTTGAGGGCCTCTTGGGGGTTCCTGGGGGCCTCTTGGGGGCCCCTGGGGGTCTCTTGGGGCCTCTGAGAGCCTCCTGGGCGCCTTTCGAAGAGGAGGGCTCGAAGTGTCCGTTTGGGTCCCCCGTCTGGGCCCCTTCTTGGAGCCGTCTTGGGGGGCTCCTGGTTGGAGGCCTCTCGGGCCGTCTTGTGGCCCTCTTGGGCCGTTCTGGGGCCTCCTTGGAGGCCTCTTGGGCCTTCTTGGAGCCGACCTTGGGGGCCTCTGATTTGGAGCGTCGGGAAACTGAAAAGGCGAGAACGCCAAAATCCTACAAACGCCACAGGAAAATATGTACATGCGCCCTCTTGGGGCCCTCTTGGGAGGCCTCCTGAAGGCCTCTTGGGGCGTCTTGTGAACGTCTTGGGCCGTCTGGAGCTTGGAGCGATCTTCCGGCGATTCGGGGCCCTCTTGGACAGTTTTGGGGGCCTTTTGGGATCCTCTTGGCCCGTTTTGGGGCCGTTTATCCCCCCATGGTGTTTTCGTCCTGGGGTCGTCCGGGGCCATGGGAGAGGATCAAATTTCCGGCTGGGGGCCCGCGGAAGGTATCATAAGGGGGAATAATCACAGGCCTATAGACCTACAAGTGGTCGGCAGATTTCGTTTTGCCTCTCCCTTCATCCGAATTCCAGCTCCTCCACCTTGCCCTCCTTGTGTCCATCATGTTGCTTCTGGCTCCCCATCTCAAGCTCCTCTCCCATTGCTGTTAGAATGTCCAACATCCCAGCAAGCTTCTTCGAATCAAGGCTTTATAGACGGCGAGCCCGGCGAGCGGGTTCTGCCCATGAAGCATTTGGGGGACATTTTCATGCACTGGAAGATCCCCACGGACCACATGTCCACATTCTGGGCGCTACTTCGCAAGCAGCCCTCCGCGTTTCACGAGGCCACCTTGCCGGAATACATCAGCTATCAGGATTTCCACGACGTCCTTTTGCGAACACTGCGGCGGTTGCGGGACATGTATTCCCCTGAGTCGCGCGGGGTCAGCAGGGATAAGCTGATAAGGCAAAGCACGCAGAAGTTCGGGGTGGCGTATGATGTGTACGAATCTTGCGGGAAGGGCGCCTTTGGCGAGTGCATGCTCGTTACCCACAAGAAGTCAAAGACGCAGAGGGTGGCGAAGAGGATCGATTGCGCGAACGCCAAGGTTCCAGTTGAGGAGATCCAGTTCGAGCTCAACACGTTGAAGGAGTTGGACCATCCGAATATTGTGAAGATTTTTGAGTGGTTCGAGGAGGATTGTTCATACCTATTGGTCATGCAGGCGGCCAGAGGCGGGGATCTGAGGCAGTTGCTCAAGAAAGTGATAAGCGACCAAGGCAAGTCTGGCTTGGAAGAACCCCTTACGGCGAACATTGCTTCGCAGGCACTGAGAGCATTGGCCTACGTGCATGAGACCAAGCACATCGTCCATCGAGACATCAAGCCGGCGAACATGCTACTCGCGACCCCTGATTTCAACAATCCGAAGATCTTGCTCGCAGACTTCGGCGTTGCTGAGTTGTTCGACGACAACTCCAGTCACAACGTCAGGGGCACCGTGGGTTACATGTCACCTGAGGTATTCGAAAACAAAGTGGGCCCGCGTGTGGACGTCTGGGCAATGGGCATCGTGGTGTACGAGCTGCTGTGCGGCGAGCGGCCGATCAAGGCGGACAATCCAATGGCGATGTTCGCCAAATTGCGCTCGACCGCGATCAGCTATAAGCCGCTTCAGGATGCCGACGCCAGCGAGGCGGCGGTGGCATTCATCCAGCAGCTCCTGCAGAAGAAGGTCGAGGACAGGCCTCTGGCCTCCCAAGCGCTGGAAGACGGATGGCTCACGCAGAAGGCAGACCATTTTGCTTTGCAGGGCCGCCAGTCTCGCAAGGCGAAGCAGTCGGTGGTAAGCTTCACCAACGCCAGCCACTTCACCAAGGTGGCCATGAACTGCATAGCCGCCCAAATGGACACCTCCAAGATCGAGGGCCTCACCGCGATCTTTCACAAGTTCGACGTCGACAACGACGGGAAATTGTCAACCGAGGAATTGGCCGAAGGGCTCAAGGAGATGCAGATCGACAGCGACTCCATTAAAGAGATGGTGCGCGCCGTAGACATGGACCACAACGGGACCGTGGAGTACTCGGAGTTTGTTGCGGCGCTGCTAGCCACCCAGGGCAAACTAGTGGAGGAGGTCATCTGGCATGCCTTCGAGGTCTTCGACGTCAACGGCGACGGCCAGATCTCGCTAGACGAGCTCAGGTCGATGATGTCCGAGGACGGCCCGCTCACGGCCATGCTGCCAGACGGGAAGAAGATCGACGAGGTCCTGGCAGAGATCGATACTTCCCAAGACGGCGCCATATCGTTCAACGAGTTCCGTGACTACATCATGCAGGTAACGTAATGACAAAGCGCAGGGAATGTAATGACACCGATGCCGTTACTCGTCCTGGAGACCCCTCGTCGCCACGACTGGATACCCGACGCCCATTCGTGGCGCGCAGGGCGATGGGAAGCGCCGCCAGGGGGGCCAAGCGCCGACCCGAGAAACCCGTGCGGATATTTCTAAAGCTCATGTTCGTGCAGTTGGTTTCTTTCAACGTCTGTTCCTTCGCTATGTGTTCGATAGCGGACCCCTCATTAATCGCGACTCTCCACTTTTCACGCAGAAGACCGCCAAAGACCGCCAGAAAGCAACCCAGACAGCCGAAGACCGCCGAAGGCCCACAGGTAACGAGGAGTCCATGGTCGAACATGTACGGCAGGTTTGCGCCGCGTTGGCTCGGCGGCGACCCCGGAGCGGGCGTTCAGGGTTAAACGCCGCCGGTGCCCCAGAATCGGCCGACGCCGAGTGGTCTTCGTTCGCTGCAGTGGGGGAGTTGCGATCGTTACAGGTTGAAGGGTTGAACGATCCGCGCGTCGTCAGAGCCCGCAACTTGGCGCAGCGAACCTGCCCTGTAGCTGTTGACGTCGGCAGGGCACCAACAGCTCGTCGGATCAGCTCGACCGCGAGGAGCCGCTGAGGACCACGATGGCGCGCCTGGCGCCTCACGTCGGCCGCCCCGAGGCCGAGCTTGTGGCGCAGGCCGACCGGCTCGCCCAGCAGCACTGGCTGGGTACCATCGGGGACGTGCAGCAGCTCTCGGAGGTCGTCGGGAGGAAGGAAGGTGTCAGAGTTGGAGCCATCCGGGGGTCCGAGGTGGCCCAGCACTGGTTCCGGTCAGCAGGAAGGTCGGGCAGTTTCGATTGTGGGTTCGGGAAGGATGTTTGCCTTTTTCCGCCTCCGGGGGCCGTTTTCGGGACCCAGGACAATGAAGAACTGATCCGGGTTGAAATATGGCACCAGATGAGCCCCGGAAGGGGTCCAGTGACCGATTTTGAATGGACTTGGCCATACCCCCCCTCCTGACAAGTTTTCTTGGGTCCCAACCAGTTCAGACCGCTGGCCACCTGCAAGGTCAAGGGTAACGTGAGGGGGGGCATGCCTCGACCCCCCATCGCCCACTCTTCTCCGCCAGGGGCCCACTCAGGAACGTGCGGTTTTGCCATCCTGGGCCTATCGCCGATCTATCGGCGGGCAATCGCCGATTCCACGTCGATGTTTCCCCCTTGAGCTTGGTCCCCCCCACGAATGTTCTCCCACAAACCCCAGTGATGGAGGAGGTCAGGGCACGAAGGAGCAAGAGGGCGTGAAGCCTACGTTCGCCGCAGTGCGAGAGGCGGCGTGGACGCAGGTACACTTCCCCTGCATTCCCCGGCCACTCCGACGCCGTTGGGGCAAGGGAGGAGGAAGGACGGTTTCCATCGTGGCGAGAGGGACGAGGAGGAAGGAGGAGGACGAGGAGGAGGAGGAGGAGGAGGAGACATTTCGGGACATTTCCCGTGGCGACGAGGTCGCGAGAGAGAAAGAGAGACGAGAAGAGAAGAGAAGAGACGAGAAGAGAAGAGACGAGAAGAGAAGAGAAGAGAAGAGAAGAGAAGAGCGGCCGCGGGCGGAGGGCGGCTCAGCGCCGTGCCTGGCGCCCCGCCGCGCTTGCCCCGCGGGCCGGCCTCCGCCCGCAGGCCTCCTCCACGAGGCCCGCGAAGCTCCGTCGGCGGGCCTGGGCGGCGGCGTCGGCACTGTCGGCCCGCCACGGCCCTGGCCCCTCCGCCTCCTGGGGGCCGCGGGGCGCCGCCTCGCAGGCCGCGGCCCTGGGCCCGCCTGCACTCCAGGCCCGCTCCGGCGTGCCTCCTGGGGCCCCTCCTGGTGGCGCGGCGGCAGCGCCCCGCTGGCTGCCTTGGCCTGGCGCCGTCTGGCTGGCTGGGCCTGGCGCCTGCTGCTCTTCCATGGCTTCAGCTCGCAGGAGCCAGGCAACCGCCTCCTCTGGGCACCGCCGCGCAGGCCACGGCTCTGAGCCTGCCTGCACTCCAGGCCCGCTCTGGCAGGCCCGCTCTGGCGTGCCTCCTGGAGCCCCTCCTGAGTTTCTGGCGGCGGCGCCCTTCCTCCTCCTGCTGCCTTCGGCGGACTCGGGGGGCGCTGGTTCCCAGTGACTGGTCCCGCACGTGCTGGCTTGCTGCCCCATGCCTCTTCGCACGCCCTCCCCGCGCCCCTTGCGTCCTGCACGCTGGCCTCAGCGGGCTCTCCTGCTTCTGGCTGCGCTCGGCCGCCCGCTCCTGCTCGTCTGCTGCGTCCTCAGCCTCCTCGTCCTCGGGGCCCTCAGGGCACCACCGCACAGGCCGCGGCTCTGAGCCCGCCTGTGCTCCAGGCCCGCTCTGGCGTGCCTCCTGGAGCCCCTCCTGGACATTGGTCGGCGTCCTTGTGTGGCCCGCTGCTGTCCTTGGCGGTCTCTCCTGCTTCTGGTTGTGCTCGGCAACTGCGTCCTGCTCGCCTGCTGGGTCCTCCGGCTCCTCTTCCTCGGGGTCCTCACGGCACCGCCGCGCAGGCCGCGGCTATGAGCCCGCCTGCACTCCAGGCCCGCTCGGGCGTGCCTCCTGGAGACCCTCCTGCGCCATGGGCGGCGTCCCTGAGCGTCCCGCTGCTGTCGGCGGACTCGGGGGGCGCTGGTTCCCCAGCGGCTGGTCCTGCGCGTACAGGCTTGCTGTCGGATGCCTCTTCGCACGCCCTCCTCGTGTTTCTTGCGTCCTGCCCGCTGTCCTCAGCGGTCCCTCCTGAAACCTGCTGCTCCCGGCAGCCCTCTTCTCACAAGCCTCTTGTGGCCCTTCTCGCGCTTTGCCTGAAGACTCCTCCCTTCTTTGGCCAGCACCTCGCTCGCCAGGCTTTGGTTCTCTCCTCACACCTCTGGCCGTTGCGCCTCCCTCAAGGTCGCCATGCCCCGCTCCGCTCCGACTTTGTGGCAGCAGCGAGATGAGCGGATGCTTTTGCCTTGAGCCAAATCGGCAAACGACAGTACTGTCCTCTCTGGCTGACTGCTGCATATGAAACGAACGAGTTCCCAAACTCGTTCTTACAACATGATCAACAGAAAAGATCATCAAGCTAAACCTATAATACCGAAATCTGGAAGCCTGTCACATGGGTCAAGCTTTCTCCTAGGTTTAGCTTCCCCGTATATAAAGCAGTAGCTGTACACAGCAAGTCAGACATCCTGGAAGAACAGGATGGGCTAAGAAGGAGAGGGAGGAAGAAAGGTCGTCCCGGAGGCCAACCCCGAAGCCGACAGGGCTGAGACAAACTCCGCCCACGATACCAGACGGGAGTCGCCGTCGAGGGTCCTTCTCGAAGCAGCGTGGGATCGGTCCTTCGCACCTGGCTGTTCCTTGCGACGGGCCATCTCAGCGCTCTCGTCTATTAGCACCAGCCGACCGTTGGCCAGCAGATTGGCCAGGGCGGCGTTACTCTTGCTCACGTCATCCTTCGTGAGCGTGTCCACCGGCATCCTGCCGTGCGGCACCCATCGTACATGGCCCCGGGCTCTCTCGAGGGTCTCACACACCCCCGCCAGATCCAGGGCTGTGCGCCTGTCTCGGGCGCTGGCGTTGCCCTCCTTGAGCATCGTGTCGTAGATGCTTTTTGCATCTACCACATGAACTTGATCCACTCGGCCGCCTAATCGACAGTCCCTCCTGAGAACTGTCGTGAAAGGTCCCGAACCCCGGGACGTGTCATTCACATCAACGTCCCTGAAAACCACGTCCCGGTACAAAACCTGCAGAAACTCTACTTCTGCCACGGCGGCAGAGAGGGCCTGAGTTTCCCCAGCCAAGGTCGAAGAGACCTTCCTACGCAACTTGGAACTACGCCACCCCAGCACGGAAGCCTTCACGGCGCAGTTATCCAGCACGCTCCTGTCCGTGGCAAGGATCATCCACGCGCCCTGGGTGGGGTCCTCAGGGAGACCCCTCTCGTCCACGAGTCCTTCGTTGGCTCCAACACCCCCGGCATCCGAGAAAGACACAAACGCCATACGGTCAGGGTCGAGCTTCCAAATGCTGAGGCCTCTGGAGGCCGTTGATCTCAAGTACCGCACCATTCGATTGGCAATGGTAACGTCACCCGTCGTAGCGTTCTTAAGCCTGCTAGCTAAGATACTGGCCGCTCCGGCCGCCTCGGGTCGCGTCTCTCGCCCGACCCAATTGAGCTTATATATCAGAGAACGGAGGGACTTGAACTCAGCGGGAGTGAGAGGGGTTTTCTTTAGCCCGAGCCTCCCGCGCTCCATGCTCACTGGCCTGACCTCCTCTAGTATGTACTTCTCTTGATCGATGAGGGTCCGGTGGGGAGCGAACGACACACGCCTCCCGGCGTACTCGACTGGCCCCTCATGGCAGTCGCGGTACTTCCCGAATTTGAACCGGGACTCGAGCACCTGACGAACCCATGTGCGAGTCTCCCGAGAGCTGCTGGATATGAAGAAGTCATCCACCTCTAGAAGGATCATGTTCAGAATGGCCCCGTCGGGGCCGTATCTGATCCACCAGCACGGTTCGAGTAGGCTTCTCACGAAACCCTGTTTCTGCAGAAACCCGACCACGGTTTTCCTCCAAGCAAGGGGGGCATCGTCGAGCCCGTACACGTTGACGAGCAACCGGATCAGGGACCCCTTCTCCACCTGGATCCCTTCGCAGGGTTCCACGTAAATCTCTCCCTGGGTCCTCTGCATCGGATTCGATTGACAGAAGGCGTTTTTGACGTCGGCGATATCACCTAAATGACCCAAGTTCATCATGACTTGGACGAACATGAGAATTGACGTGGTCTGAGGGGTAGGCGAGTACACGAACAGTGACCCGGTGTCAGGGTCCTTGTGGCCATGGACGCACCATCTTGACTTGGCAGTGGGCTCGGCAAAGGTACCTTCCACCGGCTTCCACCGACGCACCATTCGACTGGTAATTATCCGATCCGGACAGGTGCGCCTGACAGCCTCCGCCTCCTTGGGAGGTATTACTTCCACCGCTCCTGAACCCATCATGTTCTGCCACTCCTTATCGTCTGACATCTCGAACTTCACTCTCTCCGCGGGACTGAGCTGTTTGAGGGAAATCTCTCCTCCACGGCTGGCCGCCAGGATCCCGTTGTCTCCGGAGCTCTCGACCCTTTCAACAAGCCCCAGGAAACACCCGTCCTCGCTGGTCTCCACAAAATACGAAGTCCCGCCCTCAGCTTCGGTCCGGGCCTCGATCTCAGCCACCCGTCGTCCGACGAGCTCTCCCCTGGGCTTCGACTGGCTTCTCTCTCTACTATCCCCGGCGGCGGCGGCGGCACCGGCAGCCGCAGCCGACGACGACGGAACCGAGTCGGCCTCTGCCGCCGTTGGCGGCTCCAGGCCCGGAGGAGGCTCCACTCGTGGCCGCTTGGCCTCGCTAACCTCTGGCGGGCAGCTGGCGGACCTAACGCCGGGCCCTTCGTTCCCCAGGGGTCTCCGAAAACAATGAGGAACGTCGCTTGGCTGCTCGAGTTTGGCCCTAGTAGGTCCGACCGGCACAATCGGAGGGGGCGACGGAGGAGGCAGCGACACGGTAGGGGAAGGCTCGACCGACGGGGGATCGACGGTTTCCCCGGAGATCCTTTCGTCGGGCCCCGGGATCGCTGGGAGACCTCCTTCGCTTGGAGGCGTGCCGATACCTGATGACTCGCCTGGCTCCTCGACGCTTTCCGAGATCGAGGGAAGTCGTGTCCTCTCGGAACCCGCGTTGGCCACCGCTGAC